GGGTTTTGACAAGTTTTCTCAAATCTTCAATATACTCGCAGAGTATATTAAATATCTAAGAAAAGTTGAAACTGCAACACCAGAATTTGCGGAAAGACGAACATTAAGAATTGAGGACTCATGTCCGTGTTTATAAATATCAGTCGCAATCTTCTTACTTCAGTCTGTTTATTATGTTTATTGTTCTTGTTAAAAAGTTTATTTCATATTAACAATTAAAAAAAAAAAAACTTCCCTCAAATGTTTTCATGATCAAAGCAATTAAAAATGCTTGCGATTTGAGATTGCTTCGAATTTTACTTACAATCGCTGCTTGCAATCAGGGTTCGAATGCGATGCAATCAAATGATAATTTTCAGGTTTTTTAGGATATTGGTGCAACACAGTCTTACTTTTTCATTCGTATCTGTGCCAGATAAATGTAGCATTTTTACTATGTTGATATAATTATTTGCAAGTTTTTCTATAAAATATTTTATTCATATGATTTCATAACCATAAAAGTTCTCTGCACTACTTTTCATTTAATTGTGTATTCAGTTATAAAAGAACGATTCCATCCGAGTTCTTTCTCTAGATGTTGAAATTTACGAATGACTGACTAGACAAGGTCAGTAGTGGACCTAATGATGGTCTGAAAGTGAAAAAGTCTGAGAAATATGCCACTTGTGAACGAACATTCCCTTCCCTCTCCGTGATCAATACATCACATTTCTAACATGAAAGCGGGTTTTTTTTTCTGTTCCAATGTGGTATACAAATGCGTCAATTTCTCATTGTAATATTGCACAATAAAAAATTCTAGTAAATTACCGTTATATTCCACCAAACCCATGGAAGAATTTCTGTCTCTGTAGACTCCATAGGAGAGGCTTAGATAGTGAAAGTTATCCTGAATCAAGACCCGTTTCTCTTTTTTTAAAATGCTAGTAATAAAGCATTTTTCCTCATCATCAGGACGAAAATTCTTCTCGGATTCTCCTGACTCGTTCCTTCCAACGATCTCTGTCGGACATCGCCGTCGGCAGGTCCTCCAGATGGCATCCAGAGTCATCTATAAATTGGTCATTATAGGTGTGATGAGGTCTTCCAACCGATCAATTGGTTTCATAGGAGGATGTCACTCACAAGTTCTGACTTAGTTCTACAGAAGTGAACAGTTAGCCAAAGTCTCCTCTCTCTTAGCGAACCTGAGATAGGAGGAAGATACAGACGTTTCTTTGTTGGGTGTTTCTTCCAGCTGATGTCCAATGCAACTCGTAACATCCTTGTGTATGTTCCGTCAAGTGATACTTCTTGGTGTTTCGTCAGCGTCCATGTTGTTGAGCCGTAGAGCAAGACAGATTCTACCGTGGTATTAAAGAAGTCCCTTTTAAGATTGTCAGAGAGGAAGGACTTCCAGATGAGGCTCAGACTATCAAGGACGCCCCAGGCCTTGCCTTTGCGGATTTTAATGTCTCTCTCCGTTGATTGGATGTTGCTGTCGAAGTAAACAAGTTCCTGGACGGATTTGATATTGCCGTTTTTCAATTCAATTTCTCCTTGATTGTAGCTGATAAATTCTGTTTTGCCAGCATTAATGTAGAGAGATAATAATAAATACATGCATTTGATCTTAAAACGATGATTTTTGACTCACCTAAAAAAAAACAAATGGTGTCCTAAGTCTATACTGTTGAAGTGACATTAGGTGCTGTAAAACTGACACCGATAAACTGCAGATAACATAGATGATGTACGATTTAAGAAATTGCCGATCAATTGTAAAAGTCAGAAATTTTAAGCAATCTCTTTTAGAATCAATCAATCTAATTTTACCAATTATTCAATATATTTACTAAATCTGACACGTGGTCAAATATATTGAACTAGAGAGGAAAACTGCGTTGTGATAAAATTCGAAGTGAGTAAGAATCAAATAGCGACCACGAAAACCGGTGAGCAGTATAAAACTATCCCATCCACCAAACAGATTACTTGTATGATTCATTAGGAGGCGGATGAAATTTCCGGGACATGTAATGAGGGCCTGGAGAATCTGATATTCACAGGTCGAATAGAGGGAAAAAAAGACAAGGGAAAGCAACGCTTGACATACCTGGTGGGCTTAAGCAAGCGGATAGCAGAACGTGGTCTGGGGCACGAAACCTATTGAAAGCTACAAAGGAATAGGAGGAAGTGGAGAGCCATGATTGTCTACGTCCTGAAAGGACACGGCACATAAAAAGAAAGAAAAAAGAAGTAAAAAAAAACATTACGAAGGGCGGTGATAATAACAACATAATCAAATAGGAATAACTTGATTCTGGATTCTTAAACCAAGCTACCCAGGACCGAAAACTCTGGTGTGAGTTGAGTCCTTTTTAATAGAAAGTTTGCGGTACCTATGTCTCCAACAATCAATAAATTCGTGTATATATGAAATCTTCAATGCCTGCAAGCTATAAATATCTATAAGACCTAGCAAAGACACTTCAAAGACTTCGTGATCGCAACTTTGCCTCGAGTAAATGAACAGTGTATTTTTATGCACACACTAATGGCAAGGGGGAAATAAACGAATTGGTTTGTTGGTCACTGGATTCTCGTCCCATTCCTCATGCGATATACAGAGAACTGTGTTATAGTGTACTTAGAATTCAAACATGCTTCCTCGATTTTATTATTTCCCTGAATAACATTTTCTCCATCTCCTCAAGCTAAGAAGATTTCGTAATGTTATTTAAACTTTTTTTTTTTAACACTTCGTTAGAGCGAGTTTGTTTTCAAACACGTCTGAAGTAAGTTCAGGCGTTGTCTTCATACAATGATGTCTGTGCAAAACTGCTGCGGGAAGTTGGTAAATAGCGTCAAAGACAGTCTAAAGCCGTAACTAGAAGGCAAGACATTGTTTGGCAACGTTGTTCCAGCCAAAAAGGGAAAAAGGAAACAGAATAGGAAAGAAATACGCAAATGTCTTTTGCAGTCTAAGTAACTCAATAAATCAAATGAAAACTAAAAAAAAACAAATATTCAGAACGCTCTCCCTGGTTTCTGCAGGCAACGATTTGCGAGTTGCATCACAAATTATCGGATAGAGAAGTTTGTTTAACATAGAAATGAGTAAAGCTGGAGAACACATCGGTTAAGATTTTTTATTGAAAACAAAAAAAAAATGAAGATAATCATCTGAATAATACATGCAATAATGACAATGAGTCATCTAAGAATTTTTGACTTTTCGAGCTAAATGATGAAATGTCCTGGCTGGCAGCCAAAATACATAAATGTTATAATTATTCAGTATTTTTTCTTCCACAATTGATTGCTTTATTGTGATGGTCAAATTAGAAATTCTTATGCGCTATAAAGGTATGTACTCACGTGACAAGTTTCGCAGTCTATCAGTGATGGCGAGCAAGTGAGGCTGAGTATCATAGGCAACAATAAACCTTTTAAATGAAATGTAAAAGAAAAAGCTGTGATAGCTAAGTAATTTTTAGTCCTCTGATTTCGAATAAAAATATTTCTAGCTTGAGCACAAGATCTACATTCAAATTATATCGAAATTAGTAACAAGGACTGTTCACATGGGAAAATTAATCATTAATGAATAAGAAGTGGTTTCTGGATAAATATTTAGCCAAATGACTGAAAAAAAATCAAAGCTTCCAGATGTTTATCGAAATTTCACTTATTACATATAAGGGGGGTATTCTCTCAGAGAGGTTCTGTGCTTTGAGCTCATATTGGTAATCCAGACCTCAAATGGAACTCGTACATACATCATTAAAGATGCAGGAAAATGATCAGTTCCCTGTATTGAGTTAAAATGGTGCACTGCTGCCAAATTTGGGCAGGAGCTGCTTACTTTCCAGTGTTGATAATCCAAAAAGCATATCCGCATCCTTGTAAGCGATGAGTTATTTACTACACTACAACCCCTTCCCCACAGACGAAATGTCATAAGCCTCTCGCTGCTCTATGGAAAGTTTTCCGATTAGTTCCACCAATTCTAACCTTCGCGGCTAAGACCCCCTCATGCCACGCCCATTATGACGAACCACCCACATTCCCTTCGTACTCCATTGGTGAGATCTAAGTTCCCCTTGAGCCACTTCTTTCCACGAACAACTACTGTGTGGAACTGACTCCCAAGAGGATGCTTCCTCGTTCACTATAATCTTTTCAATTCTAGAGTTAACCGTTATCTTACCTATATATCCACATAAACTGAGTCTCTTAGCCTGTAACCTTCTCCCTCTAGGAGAGACAGTCACACCCACAAAACGCTTTCTCAATAAACAACCTCAAAAAGAGTTTACCAAAAAGATACTCGCACAAGAGGAATTCAAAGAGACACAATAGTCATTAATAGAAATTAATGCCAGCATTGATTGATTTTATTTTAATGGATTATCCACCATTTTGTAGGTTATTTAAACCCGAAGCATATTTTTGTTTTATAAGAATAATTATTTTTCGAGAGTGAATGCCGTATTAATAATTTTTGAAAATAACAATGATTTTCCACATACAAATCCTAATATTCAATCTTTAGTTTGGGGAAAAGAATTCAAAGATTTCCCAAAGGCATTTGCGCGTAAGTGAATATAACGAACCCGATTGGAATTCGAACTCAGCTCTTCGATTTCTCCTTCTGAGCTGTTATCAACTATACCATCTTATCAAAGAGACACTCTTGCAAATGGCGGCCACAAGTGAACATTCATGCGTGAAAAATCAATATTTTCAATGTTTTTGTTTTTTTTGTTTATTTTTTACCTTTGCTCGAACACCGACCTCTGGTAAAGACGGAACTATCTTATTCGTTAATTAGATTCTAAATCTAGAAATATTCTCTAAGCTTAGGTTACTATTAAGAAGGGAACGCATGGGAATCATAAAAAATTTGCTTTTCGGAATTGGTAATCATAGACGAATTACTATAATTGCTAAGCTTCAAACCGAGACAGTTCTCATTTTTTATTTTCATCTTACTTTTCTTGTATAATAAACCTTACGACCATATCATGTTGAAACACCGATTCTCGTACGATCACGCATATTAAACAACGTCGAACCTGTTTAGTACCTAGGTAGGTGACCACTTCGGAATACCAGGTGCTCTTAGCTTGGGTGTACGGGTGGTAAAATGGATAAGGGTTTGAAATTGTTAATGGGGGGGAGCCGAGTTCCTGCTCCAGTTGAGTTATGTTCCCTTACGCGTAATTATCCTTGCGAAGGCGATGCATCCAACTCTTCGCCCCTCACCTATGGATTAATTAGTAGGACTTTTTATCAGTAAATCATTATTTTTCATCCAAATTCTTACAATCTAAAAATATTTGCTGACTTCAAATAACCTGAGAAAGGTTGATAAGCCGTAAAAACTAATAAGTAAATCAACCATGTGTAATAAAAAGTGTTTACATGAAATAACATCCCTTAAGCACTATCTCCCCATCACACACACACACAAACAGCGAATACTAATAGCAAATGTCACTGGTACAGACACTTCAAAAATGGAACAGTTCTGGCGGAATCGTGCGTAGGTTAAGATTAACCTAAATACAACGAATCGCCCACAGATTTTGTATGTATATTCTAAGTTTAGTATCATACACAAGAAGGTCAAATATATGAATTCAGGCGAAGGATTATGTTTTACGCGATTGTTACTAGTGGAGAGGCACTTAAAAATCATCAATCGAAATCCTTACTTCTAATGAGTCGAACACCGAGACCTCTTAGACACGGAAAATTCTTAGACAGCGAGACCTCTTAGACACTAGAATTCTTAGACAGCGAGACCTCTAAGACACTGAAACCTCTTAGACACCGAAACCTCTAAGACAATGAGACTTCGTAAATACTGTGACCTCTTAGACAGCGCGACCTCTTAGACACGGAGAATTCTTAGACAGCGAGACCTCTAAGACAGCGTAACCTCTTAGAGAGCGAGACCTCTTAGAGAGCGAGACCTCTTAGACACCGAGACCTCTTAGACACCGAGACCTCTTAGACACGGAGAATTCTTAGACAGCGAGACCTCTATGACACCGAAACCTCTTAGACACCGAGACCTCTTAGACAATGAGATTTCGTAAACACTGTGACCTCTTAGACAGCGCGACCTCTTAGACAGCGAGACCTCTTAGACAGCGAGACCTCTTAAACACGGAGAATTCTTAGACAGCGAGACCTCTAAGACAGCGAGACCTCTTAGACAATGAGACTTCGTAAACACTGAGACCTCTAAGACAACGTAACCTCTTAGAAAGCGAGACATCTTAGACACAAAGACTTCTTAAACACGAAGACCTCTTAGTCCAGTTCGAAATATGCAACTAAATAAGCCATGAGGGATGCATCTTGGAGACTCTAAATATTTTATTTCATCGTTAGCCTTAGGGTGAATGATAACAAAGTCTAGGGAAGAACTGTGAATCTATATGGGTCTCTGCATGTACCCCGCCCGGCGAATCCCCGTGGCGTTAAATCTTAAAAATAAAAACTACCAATCAGCGGTGTGTGTGTGTGTGTGTATGTGTGTGTGTGCGCGCGCGCTGATCCATAATCAATCAACCCCGGCTGTTTTATGCGAATTGGTGAAAAGAAGCGTCAGGCACGTGTAAGCTGAAAAAAAAAAGTAGAAAGGACACAAAGAAAGAAAAGACTCCAATATCCGATTGGTTGGGCGGAGAATGCAACCGTTAGAAAGGAAAACAACAGTGTAATGGTGAAAGAATGAAAATGATCACCATAGCAACCAGAGATAGGCTGCCTGTCCGACCGGGCTGCTGTCTGGTTGGCCAACTGGAAGTATGGCAAATGGGCCGGCTGGATGGTTAGTGTATTGGTAGGCTGCTTGGTTTAGTCTCAGAAAGAACACAAGACATCATTGATCGACGCTTTTCTAATTCGGGAACAGGCTGTGTGAGGAGGACGCCATATTGTGTTTTATGTTCTCCTCGGTTTTGTATCTGAGGAAAAAGTCATCTTACATTTTCATTGTTGTTAAAAAAATTGGTGAGTTTCGTTCTTCTTTTCAAAGCAGACGCAACTCCCCAGCCACCACGCAAAGCATGAGTGTGCTTATTTACACACACACACACACACACACACACACACACACACACACACACACACGCAAGAACGCACTCACTCACGCACGCACACAGATACGTAGATATAGAAGTAGATATAATCAGATAACAAGACATAATGGGACACACAGTGAGGTTTATTTTAGATACGTGTATACAGGCAAGTAGCACAATGAAGAACACACGCATTGATAAACACGCCCAAAAGAATATAGGTATTTGTTTAGTTAAGTCTGGCACAGGGTCAGAATAAGGATCGGGATCGCAAGGAATCGTTAACAAATCTAAACGATCGTTCCACTGCAGTTGCATTGCAATTAGTACATGTATATGTATATATGTATATGTATATATATATATATATGTATATGTATATATATATATATATGTATATATATATGTATATATGTACATGTATATGCCAAGTCTTCACACAGGCATATCAATATATACCAGAGCATTTGTGTAGTTAGTTTAATTGTTGCTAGAACCCTAACACTTGTAGCCTTCTACTAGATTTATTGAAGGACATATCTATAGTAATATGCAAATATATATTAATATACAAAAGCACACTTATCGACACGAACATCTCCCATCCACACAATGCTCTACAGTAAAACAAAACAATATACACATGCAATGTACAGACGCATGCGCATATGTACACACTCAACAGAAACATATTCAAATGCACACACACACACTAACGCACAGCACACAGATACACCCAAATGCACACACACGTATACACACAAACACATACGCATTTTGAACAGGAGTAGAGATTTGTTTCCTGTTCAGGAATGGATTTCCGGTTTCTTCTAGGGTCTTTTTCTATTCTCTTTCACAGCCTTGCATCATGGCGCGTCATCAATTTGCTTGGGATGAATTGTTAGAAAAAAAGAAATCATCGATAATGAAGCGTGCAAATCCAAAGATTCCTAATCAATATAACAATGACTAATCGATCATAACGATGTTATGAAAACTGTTGCATAAATTGTAAATGCTAAGAGAATCTTACTGCATTTGATTTAAATATTGGAAATTCAGGATAACACCTGAATTCGAACACCAAACACTGGCGTTAAAATCTCACCTGACAATTCGGTTTTATCTCAGATATTTGCTGAAAAGTCTGAGATGATACTGGGTACCAGAAAGCCAGACTTATACACCATTATTCCCATTGTCTTCACAAAACTTAAGAAGCAACAGTCTCACCAAATAATAAGAGGCAACCTCAACACATTTCCGGTTAAAATCTCATTAAAATGGTTGACTCAAATCTCATTAAAATCTCATTAAAATCTCATAGATCACATTAGACTCTCATTAAAATCTCATTAAATCTCACAAATGTTATTAAAATCTCATTAAAAATCATTGAATGAAACATTAAAACAAAAATATTGTTATTATTAAATATTTTTGCACAGTGTATAAAAATAGACGTTTTACTCTGGAATGAAAGTTGGTTGCTTGATTGGTTTTTTATAGTTTATCACCCCTTTGTAGGTTATTTAAAACCAGAAAATATTTTTAGATTGTAAATTTTTTTTTTTTAGATAATAACGGCTTAGTTATAAAAGTCTTACTAATTAACCCATAGCTGGAGGGAGAGGAGGCGAATTCCTACGTTTCCAAAGGTTGTTTGCGCGAAAGGTAATATAACGAACCCAACTGGAATTGGAACTCGGCTCTCCGATTAACAATTCCAAGCCATTACACATTACACCATCCGCACATCCAAACTTAAAGCACCTGATATTCCTAAGTGGTCACCCATCTAAGTACTTACCAGATTCGACGTTGCTTAACTTAGGTGATCGTTTTTAGTTGAAAATTGTTAATGACACGTTATTTAAATTTTGAAGAGGGCAATACCAGAATGTTTTCTCTGCTAGTCTTATAATACATAATTAATGCTGAAATGGAAATTTCTAGATATTTCTATTCAATACGTGCGCTTGTGTCTACATATTTCAATTGTATGGACACTTCATTTGTCTTTAAAGAGGAAAATTGAAACGTCTGCACTGCCTTTAAGAATATATTTGTATATAAACATTTCTGTTCGTTAGCATAAAAGGGTTAACCTTGTTTGATACTGAGGACATTCTGGATTTCCAAAGTAAAACAAAGGTTGGTAACAAAGATTGCAGGTAGATAAGAAAAGATAGTCATAATAAAAAGGGATACGGAAAATCCTTCTTGTAACCACGTTGTTTATTATTTCATATTTGATACATTAAAATAACAGTTGTGTTCGATTTCCAACAGGACATTTTAATAATATCAGCATTTACTTAAAATATCATTATAGTTGAGACAGTTGCTAATTTTGTAATAAAGGATTTTCGTTGACAGGTATATGGGAGTTGGAAACCTCTAGCTTACTTAGTTCACTGCTCCTTCTAATACGAGTAGTGTAAATTACTCTCTCGAGCAGTTTGTAACACCCTATTCGTCATCTCTCAATTGCATCTCTGTCTTTGGGCAGAGTGCACTCAGAGGCGGCTCCGTCAAAGACAGAGACGAAATTGAGGAAAGTTATACTGAGAGGTGCCTAGCCCTGGGAAACAGTTCTCTGAGGCCGCGCCCTCTCATTGAACCAGAAAGAGGGATCAGTGCTCGCACCGAGGCCAGCGCAGCGGGGGCTCGGGCAATTTTTGTTCCTAGCCCGGGTGTATGCGCTCGTGCTCCACACATTAAACCGACTTTGTGTCACAACCTGACACCGTCGGGCGGGGGAGTAAATACAAAATACGGATAGAAAAGCTCGTTAGCCTTGGTTAACAGTCTTTTAGCCTGTATCTCAATCTGATTTCAAAACCGGGGTAGATTGGAATGTTTAGTTACTTTGAAGACAACCTTCAAATGGCCAACGACTTCATTCTTGTGACGAGGGTGGATATGAGGGTGGATATGAGGGTGCATAAGCCACGACATGATAAACCAGTTCTGAGTAATGGTAGGAAGACGTTTCGGGGTCTATTGATGTCACTTTTCTT